GGTCCTATAAATTTACGGAATTTTAATGTTCATAAAATTTTCGGAATATTTTGCCTATTAAAATTTTCTGATGTAGTGTTGTAAAATATTTTTATTTAATTTCTAATATTGAAATATATTGTATTTATGAAATATTTAACTATTATAAAAATACTGGGAACCAATGTATCAGAAAAAAATATTATTACATTTTAATTCAAACCAGTAGAATCTTACATTTGAAAGAAAGCTAATATATTTGTTAATCTAATTAATAATTTATGATAAAGTTTATTTTTACATCTTATTTTTAAAAATATCAAGTTATTATTTTTGATACAAAATAAAATAATTTGAAATTTTAATTTCTTTAATGTTTAAGTTATCATTGTATTTACAAATAACAATTTATAAATAAGAATAAACTTTATAAGATTTGTAAATTCTACTTGATTTACCTATAAATTTGACAATATTTTCAATGCAATAGATTAAAATTTTTTATATTAAACCTAAATTATAATTGATATATCACATATTGTAATTATCTCATTATTTCTAATTTGATCTCACTAATAACAATATTAATATTATAATTTTACTGAATTTTTCAATTATAACATAACAACACCAACTTTTTCACTTCCCATTTCTCTGCAACGCCAATTATACATATAATAATTTAAATATCCATCACCTGGTCCAAATTTAAGTTCATCAATGAATGATTTGTTTTCCAATAGATCAAGGCAATTAAAAACATCTACATTTTTCTAAAAATTAATAAATTAATCTGTGATCAGTAAACTTGATTTAATTACTTCTTAAAAAATAAGACCAATTAATACTAACCAATTTTGCCAAGATTAATGCATCTTTAATTAGTATTTTTAATTTACTTTTTGATGCTTTTTCTTCAGTTTCCTGAATAGCATAATAAAACAGATATACGGCATTTATAGTTTTATGTGTTGGATTTCCAATAACAGAAGAAGGCAAATAATAAAAGGAAAAGAAATCTGTCACTTTTTTTGTAGTAGGGTTCTATAAAGTATATTAAATGATAAGACTAGAATTAATTTGGTTTGAAATTTTGTTACAAAATGTAATTAAAAAATTATATTAAAACATTACCTCAACAACGTAAGACCAAATGACATTCTCTTTTGTTAAAATCCAATGTTTTACATCTTCATCAGTTTTAAAAACTGCAACAAAATCAAATTTATTCATATATTTATTTAATAATACTCGAACTGCAGGAATATCTTTTTCTAACATTGGTCTAATCCCAGGTGTTGATGTCTCAGATGGTAATTTAAATTTCTTAATTAGACGTGACATCGGAGTGTTTAATGGTAAACGTGAAAAATTTGTTTCAATCAATTTTTTAGGATTAAGTGAACGGTGAAAATACCTAATTTCAAAAATGTTCAATGTTCAACACAAATTATCAAACTATTTAAAATTCATTAATAAATGAAAATGAGCATACCGAGCTTTGGAAATAGGTCTAGGTAAAACAACACCGGCTGTATAAACTGCTTGAAATATTCCTTCAAGATGAGAGCGTCTTGTAATTTCTTTAATTAACACGGGTGCCAATCTTTTGCTCCGAAGTTTTTTGTGAACACAAAGAAAGTTGATTTCGACAAGATGCTGATGGCTATCATATAATTATAACTATATTAAAAGAATTCATTAAACAGTATTATATCATAGTAATCAGTTAAATTACTCACGAATCATAAATCCGAATGTCAGCTGGAATACCACTGACAAAGGCAACAAGACGCTTGGTAGCACTAACGCGAACACCAACGTGCCAAATTTTCTTATAACCTGGTGGTTTAAGAGCCCTTATATATATAACCAAAGAATTCAAATGATTTAAATCATTACACAAAAATATAAGTAAATGATGTACATAGGGTTACCAGTTCAAAAATTCTCCGGAATAATCAAAACGGAACATTGCATCATCATCTTCGACATAATTATTTGTCAAGAGAATATAGAGTTCACTTAGCTAATTGAAATTCAATTAACATAATCTTCAATAATTAAACAAAAAAAAATAACACATAAACTTATATATTAAAGATAAATACCTCATTCTCATTATCCAGATCCAAAGTTACCCATTCAAATTCTTTTGGTAAAGGATATGGTTCTTTACGAATTTTTTCATAAGGAGTGTTCCCCTCTATTGGGCCATCTTTTTCAACAGTTTCACCTAACAGAGAATATTTATATTATTTATATTTTTTTTTTTTTTAAAAAAAAAAAAAAATAAATAAATTATTGTAAGTTTTTAAAAAGGGTTTAACTAACCATGTTTTGGAACCGGTTGGGTGCTCCAAAATTTGTGAGAGCTCATTTCTTTTACCTTTTGTGAATTACTTGACGTAGATGACGGTTGAATCGCCTCACGTATAGCGAGTTGGTTAAACAAAATTCTAACTTTTTCTTGTAATTCTGCGGAAACATTTGAATCTAAAGTAGAAGAACTCTCGGAATTTTTTGCAGCTTTTTTTTGAGCTTTTTTCGAATTTCTCTTTTCTTGTTTAGCCCGCAATTTTTCAGTCGGACTAGTTTCGCTTTCTCCATCGTAAGTCGGTTCTTGATTTTCCATTTTGAATGAACTAATTTGGAAAGTGGTATTAATATAAATGATTAAAAAATAATGTTGACCAATCATAACGAAAATTACGCGCGCAGATAAAAAAAAACCATCTGGTGTGTTTTTAAAATTGGATTTGTGTATTAAAAAAATGGAACGTCAGAGATTAATAGAATCTTATGAAAATCAATTAAATGAATATGATAAGAAATTAAAAGAATTACTGGCAGAACTTTCGTGGGATATTGAATCGTTGAGAATTCTTCATCAGGTTTTCTTTTTCTGTAGAAAATACCGCGTCGTTTTTAATTTCCTATTATTAATCATATAGCATTTCGAATAGGAATTCGATTCATTTATAACTTGTTCTTTTAATGCTGCTCATAAAGTTCCTATTAAGTCATATGAACAACATCATATAAGATGTGAATTAAAGCATCATGGAATAATTTCCGAAAGCGGAAGGGTAGTATCTTATTTTAAAACTGATTGTTTTTTCAATATCGATATATAATTCTAATTTATTGGAATTGTGAGAAGCGGAAACAAGTGCCAAGTTCGACATTCTTTTATCGGAAAGCACCAGCTGTATTATCCTTGGATAAAGGTTAGTCCATATTTTATTTACAATTTTTTTTTTTTTACATTCGCTAATTCTTCATATGTATAAAAATTGATATGTATTTTAATAAATTCAGAGGAATTACAAAAAACTGCAGCATATGGATCAGCAAATAATAATGTAGGACAAAGCTTAACAGTAGGTCAAAGACTTGAAGAATATGAAAAAGAAATGGCAATGTTTAATAGTATTCGTGCAGAAAATAAGCAACAAAAACGAGACGAATATCAAAATTTTGATGCGATTTGGGAAGCAGTTCAGAAGAAAAAAGGCAAGAAAACATTAAAAGCATTAAGTATCAGAGTATTGAAATTGGATAATCGAAATGAAACTTTTTGAAATTTTAAAAGGTGAAAATTCTGGACAAAAGTCGCGCGCCGAACTTTTGGCCGAGCAACGTGATTATAAACGTCGAAGAAAATCGTATAGAGCTAAAAATATTAGAATCACTCAACGCACTCCTACCCAGGTAAACGTTATAATAATTCATTTACTATTTTATTTATTATTATTTTATTTGTTATTTTATTTATTATTATATTTTTAGATACATCGAGATCTTATTGCTGCTTATATGGAAGATTTTATATTGTTGAATGAATTTGAAATGGAACTGGAATCAAAATCTCTGATAAGCAAATCTAATAACTCCAATAATTCCGAATAATAAATTAAGTAGTGCACATAATAATAATAATAATAATAATAATAATAATAATAATAACAGTAATAACAATAATAATAATAAAATATTAATAACTCTAATAATTAAATGATTAATAATGTTTAGTAGTGTGGTAAATTAAGCAAAATAAAATATTTATTGTGAGTGAGAAACGGGATGTCTCAAGTAGAACATTCATTACACGTATTCATTATATTAATTTTTATATTAATGCTTAATGATTTTTAATTCTTTTGTCGAAAAAAAAAATACAACATAATAATAATCCAAGTTCTTTGATTGGCAACAAAAAATTTCATTTATTTCTCACGTGATTAAATAAATAAAATGTTCGGTCATTTCAGTTACAATATTCCGAAATAGTATTAATCTTTTCTTTCGTGGTTTTCTAGTACAACCTAAAAATGAAGTTAAATGGGTATTCTTTGGAGATCACTGTTAATGGAGAGCAACTTCCAGAAGTTACAGAACCTTTATCCAAATCTAAAGTAAAAAAATTTATATATTGCGTTTTGTTGTTTCTTTTAATGCAGTTGTTGTTGTTCCATTGTATGTAATGTTGGCCTTTGAGTGTTTTCTTTATGTTATGCACGCACACTCTCTCTATATTTATTTTCTTTGTTTATTTAATATTATTTTATGTTATAAATTAATTAAAAGATATCCACAGGTCCTCCATATACTCGTAAAGGAATAAATGCATCAGAAGATCAAAGGTGTATTTTTTTGTGCATTACTAGAATATAATAATAATATTATTATTTTTAATTAATATTTAATTTATATTTTTAAAAATTTAGTCCCGTGACGCATTACTCTGCTGTTCAAGAATTTGGTACAAGATATGCCGTTAAATTTTCTGCACCAGCTCAAAGCTGTAACCGAGAAAATCCGATAAAAGTTTTTTTGTATGTAGATGGAAAATATGATTACTCTTATACAGATATCAATCCTGATAAGCTTGGCGAAACGCGCACATGTTTCTGGAGTAAATCTCGAGATAAAATATTCTATTTCAAGTTTGATCCAACGATTTGGTCGGAGGATGACAGTAAAAATAATCAATTATCTTCTGGAAAAGCACTTCATTTTGGTGGACCAGGTGCTATATCGGTTTATTTTTATCGTGCTCAACGTATTGCATGGAATGTTGCTCCACCACCGGATTACAATATTGAACCGACTGTTGTTCCTGAGACTAATGAAACGAGAGCGATTAAACTTTCAACACAATATGAAGTTCAAATTGTGCCAAATCCAACAATTACACGATTTGATACATATTTGCAAGAACATGGTATGCCATTGGCCGTTCTTCATTTACATTATCGTGCAGCAGCTTGGTTGCGAGCACGTGGGCATGATATCCCTTATCCTCGTCAATTACAAGTTATCGGCAATTCTAATTTAACACAGACACAGCAATGCATTGAAGTGTGTGATGAACAAAATCCAACTAAAATTAAACAAGAAAATATAATCATCAAGGAAGAACCAAATGATCAAGTGAATATTTACAATAATAATAATAACACAAGGAATTCTAAGAAACGAAGTAAAATTGAGGTAATTGTTCTTAGTTCAGATGAAGATGATGACAATTCCCACACCAAAAAGAAACGATCTTTTAATTAAATTAGATATATTTTATATTATTAAAAAATTATTGTATTTTTGATCTCGAGGAAATCTATAAATTTTCACTTTTTCGCTTCGTTCCACGTTTATGTACTATTATTAATTATTATGTCAATAGATAGCAGTTATAAAATAATTTCTGAATGGATTATTTTTTTCAATAACTTTTAAATATTTGTATTTTTAAAGTTTATATATATTCATCATTTTTAGCGGAGTATATAAAAAATGATATTAAAAATTCCGGTAGTTCACTGTTAGAACACCCATTACTTTTTTATATGATTTGCTCAATGAGATAACTATTAGGTATTATTACATAATTTCTTCTGCCGCAAGAAATAAAAACCGGTTAAAAGCAAGAATTTATTTATACGAGTAATCAAATTTTTATTTATTTCATTAGATATCATTACTTTTCGTTACTGTTTTCGTTTCTCTTTTTTTTTTTCTCTCTCTTTTTTTTTTTTTTTTTTATTTTATATTATTTTAGAAAATGAATCATTAAATTCATCTTTAATACAAAAGAAATTGCCACCAATTTATAAATTGTAACCGAGGATTATAATAAGGGTGTTGTTTATAAAATATAATCGAAGTATTAAGTGTTGTTTTAACAGTCCGGCTTGGTCTTCAAGCCGAACCTAATCGACTTGAAGGTACGAGTCAAACCAGTCATTAAGTCGAATGGATCGTTACAATGCCGTAATTATGCTGTCATGCCATAATGTATACCTATTTCGTTAAAATTACCAGAATTACAAGCGTGTAAATTTTAAACAGATGCAAAATTTTAAAATGACTAGCATTCGCTTAATTTTGATGAAACGGGTCTACAATTTTTACAGAAGGTGTAATTAATGTTTTCTTTGAGATTACTTAGTGCAATTTTTGACGCTTATAATATAAAAAGCTTTATATGTAGTAACGATCGGCGATTTTGTATATTATAATTATTGTCCAGTGCAAAAATGTAGATACATGAAAATCAGTACACAGATTTCTCTTATTATAGAAATCCTGCAAATCAAGTCATATAAAAATTTTGTATTACATAAAATATGAGTACAATTTTTCAATTTTAATCTTTTGCTCATTTTTTATTCCCATGAATGATGTGAAATGAGATAAGGGTCCACTGACTAGCAATGAACAAAGGATAATTTTTAGTGTTCATCAATATTTTTTAGATGCTAGACAACATCCAGATCAGTTTCAAGCTATACCATTATGCAAGCAAGTTGTTATGGCTCTAGGTATTGAAGAGATTACAGTTGCACAAATGGTTGCTGAATGGAACAAAAATGACAATGAAAATTTTACATCAAATAAAAAACTTGATCAACCAAAAAAAAAGACTTAATTACATTAGCAAATACTTCTGGTTCTTCACTTTTAACAGCTATATTATAATAAAAACTTGTTGAAAAAGATTATATACTTTCAAAATGACAATTTCTTTGTATACTACATAATTTGAACTATTTTTATAGTCATAGTGAGCATCAAAATATTTTATATAAATCATCTACAAATATAGCTTTTTGAAGCTGTTATTTAAGGAAACATTTTGAGAATTTACAAGGTAAAAATAATATTTTCAGTAAACCAGAAATTTTTTTGAATAAATCATATTGTTATTTATATCACACCTCAAATTATACATGGATATCACATCATGGAATCATTTGTTTATTAGGGTATGGATCTTTGATCATTATATTTGGAACCATTATTGTAATATGAAATGGAAATACTAACAAATTTATAGTGAAATCATATTTAATTCTATCTTATTATAGAATCCATCAATTAAATTATCTTCTTCAAGAGAAAGGAAATAAATAAATGTAGAGACTTGAAAAGAGATTTCTGAAAGATTTTTAATTCTAATATTATGGTTGATTATAATTACTATCATAGCAATTTTATAGCTGAAATTTTTAAAGATCTTTTTGACAAGCTTTATGCCAATGTTTATAAGTAATATGAATCAGCAGATATTTATATTGATGGAGTTCAATATCACAAATGTCAAGTTGAACAAGTACTGTTATCAAATTCAAGAAAAGATATATTAATTTTATGGTTAATGTTAAAGGATATTGATATTTCAGAAGGTTTCAGTAAAGTAAAACTTTATGAATTAATAAAACAAAATAAAACAAATGTATTTTTTATATATACGTGTTGCCCAAATCCCAAATCATTTGGGATTTGGGACGCCAAAATCCCAAATTACTAGTATTTGGGATTTGGGATTTGGGATTTCGGCAAAAAATACTAATCATAATTTGGGATTTGGGATTTGGGATTTCGGCATTTGGGATTTCGGCATTTGAATTTTGAATTTGGGTGACAGGTATATTTTTATATACAATCAAATAACTGATAAGTATAATCATAACTTATTTTATTCTCTTCTATATTATTGTGAACTTTAATCCATTAAAGGAATTTGGATAATTGTGAAAAGAGAAGTTGTCAGGACCAGTTTTCATCCTAATTTTCTTACTATTAAAAACAAATTATTATATGCATTTAAAGAAAAAATTATCTCTAAAACTATTATTGAATTTTGGAGAAAATCACTTGACCAAGTAAAAAATATAAAGATTTAGATGATAATATAATTTTGGTTAATAGTAATAATGAAAATTTTAATATTAAAAAAATTGATACTTAATATTTTTTTTTTTATAAAAAAATAAAATCGTAATAAAAATAATATTAAAATAAATCTTAAAACAAAAAAAAAAAATAAACTTTCAAATATATATATTAATTTATAAAAAAAAATTTTTTCTTATTAATATATTTGTATATCTACATTTTTGCATCAAATAATATTATAATTATAATTATCATTAGGAAATTTTAATACGTAATTTATAAAGCATAGAGATATTTTCTACTAAAATATTTCTAAGATCACTAAAATAAAAAGAATGGCCTATAAAATGACATGTATTTTATTTTAGTAGTATTAATATTTATAAAGATATTTGTGTTTAAATTAAATGTCTACAAAAATTTTTTATCATAAATTCTCTATAATTTTTCATAATTTTATCAGAATTACAACAGAATTTTCATAAATATTTGAGTTTAAATACTAATATTTTCATAAATATCAATATTATCTAAATGAAACATATATTACATTATAGTCAAGAACTAGGATTTTCAATCTATTATAGAAACACATTAGTAGAAAATTATTCTCTGTCACATAAATTATGACTTTTTACTAGTATAAGTAAAAGATAAAAGAAAAATCATATACTACTGTAGCAAGAAACAATACTTAATAATTATTATTGATAATAACTAATATAATCATAATCAATTATAATCAATTGATCAAATAATCAATTATACAATTATAATTAAATAATCAATTATATAATTATAATTGATTATTCAATTATAATAAAATAATTAATTATTTGACTATAATAAAATAATCAATTGATAATAATAAAATAATTGATTATATATATAGTAGGTAATTCAAAATCACTAGACAGTTGAAAATTTTTAAAAAAATTACTAAAATTAAAATAATCTAATTTGCACAAGCTTTTTTTTATTAGATTACCTTAAACTGAGACTATCATATAATATATTTTGTATTAAAATTAAGTGTCTATATATGGTGAAATTATGTTTCAAATAAAATTAACAAAAAATAAAAAATTTAATCTTTGAACACTACCTATACTATTTTCAATATACTTAAAAGATAAATGTTAACTATTTTATATGAAATTATAGTCAAGAGCAATTTATATAACTTTAATTAGAAACACTTTTCATAGTATTTAGTAAAATTTTGACTTTAATTAGATGTGAATGAAAATAACTGAAATTTATTAAAAATTTTAAAAAATCTAAAAATAATTATCAATCTTTTTTACATATACTATAAAAGTATCCTTCTTATTAATATGATAATAAAAATAATATTAAGTAAAATTAAATTTAAGAATATACTGTATTTTGTGTAAAGTATTCAGATTTTTTTAATAAAATGTGATCAAATAATTAGTAGTTAAATTACAGAGAATAATTTTTAAACATCTGAAGTTTAACTGTTGATATTAAATTAAATTCGTAAAAAAAAGTTCTAAAAACTTCATGAACAATGCTTAACTACTGATCAAAATAGGGAATATTAAATACTTATTGTATACCTATTAAGAACCTGATAAGTATATGATAGGTATTTGATATTAACAATTATACACAACCTGCCAAAAGTATCCGGACAGCTGTTTTTTTTCAAATTTTTTAAAAAATTTCAAGGATGAATTCTGGCACAACAAATAATTTAAATTGCACAAACTTTTTTTTGAAAGAATTCCCAGATCAAGGGCTATCGTATAATATCTTATTTATTCAAATTGGATGCCTGCTCATTTTAAAATATTGTCTTAAATAAAATTAACCAAAAATATTAAAT